TTTACTCAGCCAAAGGTTTTCAAGTATCCACGAGTTGTCAGATTTTTTTTTCTATTCCTTTTAACATTGAAAGTAGGGACTTGTCTTTGTCCTTTCCCATCTGTTATTTTGCATGTCCCATTCTGCCTTCTTGCTTTCAGGAAAGCAATTTTTTTTTTTCTTTGCTTGTCAATTCAGTGAGACCAAACTGGTTATTGTAAAATAGTAAACAAAGGAGCTTGACTTGGAGGCTATGTAAATCAAAGCCTGCAGTCCTGGCCCTGTGTCCAAGCCTATGGCAGCATTCCCACTGTTATTAATGCTTCTGTGAATGCTGCCAGCATTACCACTGGTGGTGCTGGTGCCTGCTCACAGCAGAGCAGCAGGGTGAGCTGGGCAGGGACAGCCAGAGCCTGCAGCTGAGAAATCTGTGAGCTATTGAGAGCATTCCTGAAATTGGTCAAGTGTTCAAGTCTGCCTTTATCATTAACTTATTTTTGAAGGAATTGGGCAGTCGAAGAGGAGCGGATTTTTGTGTTTGCGTTTTTAGTCTGCTCTTGGATTTCCCAAAGACAGATCTGTTTTGGCAGACAGTGGCTTGGCGGAGATGCATCTCACATGCTGTCTGGGTTTGTTGGTGTTTGAAAAAGAGGGGGCAGAGGAAAGCAAGCTGCCCCAGCGTTTTGACTGGAAACCATCCTGGAGAGAGCAGCAGCTGAGAAGCTGAACTGTGCCACTCAGTGCGGATCAGCTTAATAGCAGCCAAAGCTTTATTCTGCCCTTTTCAGTTATTCATATCACTCCCACCATCACAGCCTTGAGGAGCTGCATTTTTTTTGTCTGCATAAACCCAAAAGACAGTGTGTCTATTGACTCTCTTGCTGTTTCAGGAATTCATCTTACAAAATCGTTATCAGCAAAATATCCTTCATTCTTTTTTGTTTCGGAGACAGGAATGGCAGAAAGCATGTGTGTCTATGTATATATTCAAATTTCTCCTATGTTTCCTTTATGTATTGTTTTTTGTTAGCTATAGAAAAGACTGCTTTGGTAAGATTGTGCTTAAATCTGAATTGCCATGACAGTGGAAACCTGAAGCTTGCCAGCACACTTGCTGCAGGGTTGATGGTGCTGCAGATGCTGGGCTGTCCTTCATCCTCAGGAATGCTCCTCCTCATGAGGTGTGTGTTAGCATCTGTGACCTCTGGGTTTCACTGCTGCAGTGTGAGTTCAGGGAAGTATTACTTTATGAAAAAATAGACCTTGGAAGGGAGGTTATGTTCATATGTGTTTATCTGGGTCTTAAATGGTGGCACAGAGGTCCTCAGGGGGGAAGGGAAGGGGGTGTGAATTTAACAAACATGCACAGAATCTGAGCACCTTTCACAAAGAAAAGCTAGCTCATTTTCTTCTCACCCCAAAACCCTTTTAATGGATGTGCTTTTTCTTTCTACTTTTTCATGCTGCTGCAAGTGACCTCATTTATTTATTTATTTATTTATTTATGTGACCTCATTTATTCTTCAGGAGGGGATTTTTTCTTTTTTCCTAGCATTATGAGTACATAGCCCTAACTTCTGCTATAATCAGGAGTGATCTGGCAGTCTGTTGGTTGAGATAGTGACTTCCCATGTGGTGCTGGAAAGCTGAGCTCTTGCTCCGTCATCCCAGCCCCATTAAGAGAAGTGAGCCAACTGAAAACTGCATCACAATGTCATCCTCCCACCTGGGAGCAAGGTCTGGTATTCACATTCCAAAGCCTTTCCTCCTGAGAATGCCACTCAGAGTAGATATTTTAATGTTAATTCTAATGCCTGAGAAGTAGCATCTTTGAAGCTGTATGCATGCAAAAACAAGCAGTGAAGAAAGCAAATATATACTTTTCTTGTGAAGCTCAACTGTAAATGACTCCTGAAATAGCTCCTGTGACTCTGCAGCTCCAGGCTGCTGTATCTGTTACACTGAATGTGAAACTTAAGGTCATCAACTCGCTTTTTATCATCGTGCTTCAGTAGAAAACAGAAATCTAGAACTAACTATTGCATTTTATGACCAGAAGTGATGATGTTAGAGTGACATACTCAAATGGAGTAATAAAAAAAAAATCTAGACTTTAAAAAAAATATTTTTATTTTAAGAACCAAAATACCTCATTGGAAAAATATTTAAGCTGTTTGAAGCTTGCCAAATGCATTAAATGGCCAGCAGAAACGAAACGTCACTGGGTCTCTCATACAAAAATCTGTGGTTTTGGAATGTACCCAATTTTACTTATTCATCTCCTGCCTTCTCTTATTCGGGGCCAGTTAAGATAGTTTTGGAAACAGAGCATCTCCTCCTGCATGCATTTAGCCCAGAGTGACTTTGCTCCTACCCAACCAATGAGGTTGCTCATGAGGAAGAGCTCTGGCTGAATGTTTGCTGGGGCTGCCTGGGAATATGTAATAGCAAAGCCCTTGTTTTTTGGTTTCAACAATAGAGTCAAGGGACAAATTCCTGAGTCGTGCTACTTAAACAAATAAAGAGAGCTGTGTAAGTGGGACTGGGCCTTCCATAGAAGTCAGTTCAAACAATGGGTTGCTCTTAGATAGACGAAGATACTGGTCCTCACAAATGAATCTCCAGCAGCTGGGATTTGAGGAAGAGGCTGGGAGGCTCTTCTTACAGCTGTCAGCCTTTCCGTGCCTGACTTTGTTTTCCTGGTGTGTTTCTGTTTGTAACACAAGGCTGTGTTGTTTCCCATTGTGTTTAATGTAGCTTTACGTGAGCGTGTGGATGATAAAGTTTAATAAATTATACAGAGCACTTGGGCAGAACAGTGATTGCTGTGGCTCCTTGAGATTTGATTGCAGCAGGTCAATGTTACACATACTTCTGCTGCAGGAGCTGGTGGGCAATTAAAGCTCCTGGAGAACAAGCAAAGTTGAAAGCTTTCCTTATCAGACATTTTTATTTAGTTATAGTTACAGTCTTTCCCATTTTATGCTGCCATTTCATCTGCTGTGTTGCATTCAGTGCCCAGCATTTTGTTGCTGTGCTTGAATTACTATTTTTGTAGAAAGAATGTGAAAGGAGATCTAGGAAAGTACTGCAGCTGACAGCACTCACAAAAAAAACAACTGAATTGAGTCAAAATAAGTTATTAGGTGAGATGTGTGAGTTGTGTGAGCTGGACAGATGGAGGGAAGCCTGTTTGCACACTGAGATTTGAAACCTTCTGGCTGAATTTGTCCGCTTCCAGTTAGGATTACTAAAATGTTCCATGATTTGGTATTTCATGGATTTATTGTCAGGAAACTATTGTCTGCCTGGAATAGTTCAAAGAATAACCCCACTCTGAACTGTATTCAATGGGAGCCCACTTCTCAGAATACATTAAAATTATTTGTTGCATTGTTTTCCCTGAAATAGCAAAAAATGATTTAAAGTTTGGTTTTTTTTTTAAAGCAGTCTTTCTTCTTTCTTGAAGAGGTTTTTCAGAAACTTGGAGGAGTGAGCAAAACCTCGTGCTTCTGAGTAGCTGTAGCTACCATGGCAAGATAGACAGCACAGGGTGAGGAACCATAAGTGCCTGAAAAAGGAGTGTGAGCAGGAGGATGGGTTAGGTTTCCAAAGCCAAATGGCCAGGCTCCCTCTCACCTCTGCAGCAAGGATTTCATCCCCAGCCATGGAGCAGGCTCTCTGGGGGCAGAGGGTGGTATTCGAGGTGGAGGGGATACATGGGAGTCCAGTGAGCCTGGATGGATGGACAGATGGATGGATGCCAGTTGCAGGTATGAGAGGGACCTCAAGGCTCAAGTGGCTGGAGGTAGGGAGTGATGGCAGGAGCTATGCAGAAGAGGGAGAAAAGGAAGAGCTTCTGTATGAAGGCCAACCGCAGGAAAGAAAAGGCAGCTAAAATAAACAGATGGGATAGACAGCTAGGGAATAATGTTGGGCAGTGAAGCAGATGACAGAAGGCCTTAGGAAGTAGAACTGTAAGGAGAAAAATCTGAAAATATGAGAGGGTCACTCAGGGACAGATTGTTCAAGGCAGAGAAGGGAGGGTAGTTGCCCAGTGCTCTGCTATGCTAGGTAGCAAAGCAAATCTGCATGGGTAAAAATAGGAAGGAGTTGTGTCTCAGCTGCTCCTCGGGCTCCTGTTTCCTTGCGTAATTTGTGCCAGCTCTGTTTAAGGAAGTGGAGATAAGGCTTTGCAGAGTGCACAGTGGGTGCAGTGCATGAATTGAGATGTTTTGTTGTGAATATGTTGGCTGAGACATGAGACAGATACTTGTTTTGCCCCTCCACTATCTCCAAAACGTACTGCGAGCCAACAGGTAAGTGGTGTGTTAAAGAAAAGAGGTGGCATCCAACAGGGCTTTCAGTGGAGGAAGAAGTGCCTGTACGTGTCCTGAAAAAACCCATGCCCAGAAGGAGGAACCCAGAGGGTCAAGTGTGGTGCAGTCTTTCACATGTGATATGAAGAGGGGCTGTTTCTGAGTGCAGAATGATTCATAGAAGGAACATATTGCAACACAAGAAAAAGGTAGCAGCTGCAAGCATCAAGGCCCACGTGCTAGCCAGGGGAAACTGGCATTCCCTTCTGCTTGATCATGGCAGAAGGTTTATTCTCTGAAGATAGAAAATGTCTGGAGATGTTCATTCTGATGATGCATCTGAGCTGTGAGAGCTATCACTTCTCAGGCAAAGTAGGAAAGCAAGTCCTGTGTGTGCCAGATATTGACCAATTTAAGTTAAATTTGGAATTTTAAGGTCTTGTAGGAATAGCCAATTTGACAGAGAGGCAAAGCCCTGCCATGTTTAACAGAAGAGAATTGAATTCCAGCAGCACACACTGCAGACTCATGCTGGTTCGCAATGGTTTGTAGATAACAGTAAGCTAAAAGTGGAAGTGTTCAGAGGCTCATATGCTTATGTTTCTGTGCTGCCTACTTATGAGGATGGTAATACAAGTAACACAATGTCATTCAGTTTCAAATGGTATACGTTAAAAATTTCTTTTGACTTTGTTTTTTTAGGCAAGACAGCAAGCCCAGCTGAGACATCAAATGGCAGAAGACAGCAAAGCAGAATATTCTTCCACTCTACAGAAGTTCAACAGTGAGCAGCATGATCATTACTACACACACATACCAAACATCTTCCAGGTAAAGCTCACTGATGCTGTTCTAGAGAAGTTCAAAATCTCATGATAAAAGCCAAGGGATGTGTTGCTTGTTGGCTCGGTTCTTGGATCTTGCCTTTTATTTGGTAACTTTTGTCCCCAGTAGCAATTATTGTATGCAGTCTGCCAATCTGAGAGATGGAGAGCTATGAAAAATTCTGCCCTTCTCTTCTGAGGAAGGCAACAATGAATTGTCATGACAGATTACGATAGTCTTTGGAATTGTTCACAATCTTGCTGTGTTAAGCTCTTGTGTCTGTGCAGCTGGGGAATGAGAGCATTATTTGCATTGTTGGAGCAGGAGGCAGCTGGGGCGTCCTTACATCTGTAAAGCTTCATGGTTCTTTATAACCTGTTTTGAAATCAGACTTCGCAGATGTTAAATTTAAACTCCAATAATTCTGCGATAGTGAATGTCAAAGAATTTAAGGAAGCTTGCTGACTGTCTTATGATGCCTAAAGAAAGACAGTAGGCAGAGAACAAAAAAGCTATCAGTGTGCTTGGCTGAACAAAGAGAGATTAATGCTGTAGAACAGAAGTTCTAAATGACTGTTCCATTGTAATGGGTCATAAGAGTCAAGAAGTGGAACATGCACCCTCTTTAAGGAGAGGAAATGTCACGTGCTTATCATCTGATGAGAAATAACTAATACTTGCATAGCAAAGTATTCATCCATTTATTCATAACTGGAGCATCTTAGCTAAATGGACACCTTCTCTTTTGCTCATGGTATTTCAAACCAGTATCTTCAGATAAATCATCTCTGGCATTATATGTAGAAGTCTGCCAGTGTACTTGTATTTAACACTAAATGCAGTGAATGCATCTGATTCGTAGATGAGTGTGCAGGTTGTGCACACACATCCTTGTAACTGCCATCTAACAAATAATCTCTGGTGCTTTCTATTAGCTGCTGAAATAACAGATATTGTAAAGGATTTATTTCCTTTAACTACTGAATTGTTGTTGCTTGTGAATTAGTGAAGGCAATGAGGATTTTTAGGTTGATGGTGTTCTGTAAGATTCCTGCAGTCTTACATGAAACAGGCAGTTCTTGTTCAAGCCCTTCTGTATCCCGTTGTTATAATCTCTCTTAATACTGTTATGCCACATCCACTTACCCTCTGTTCTAAATCAGAGGTCCATGCAATAGATGCTGGAGATTGTGACACTGAATCCACTGAGGAGCAGGGGGCATATGTTGAGAAGCACACGTGTAAGCAGGACGGTGTGTAGGGCTGCCTGTAAAGCAGAAGTCATCTTCTGGGGCAAAGGGGAAATAAAAAATCCAAGGGAATAAAAATCTTAGTGGAATGAAAATAACATCTTTCACAACATGCTGCAGAAAATGAAAGAATTTATTGTTCCAGAAATTATGTTAACAGCATTAAGAACCATTCTTACAAATGTCTAAAGTTGGGATTTTGACAAATCAGCATTTTTTAACATACAAAACTAACTGATAAATTCCCTGTGACAGTAACACAGATTGCTCCTAGAATGGTATTTAGATGTTGGAAGGAACTGTACCAATTACTGCCTTGTTAGAACACCTGTCCTAATTTGTCTGTTCTTAAAACAATATATATTTAAACCTTGTGTTTTAAAGCAGCCAATGTATGATAGGGAGAAAAATTGTTTGTAACTGTGAAGTGACTACTGATGTGTGATCTGACTGAAATCTCATGTTTTAGAAAATACAAGAGATGGAGGAAAGAAGAATTGTGAGGATAGGTGAATCCATGAAAACTTTTGCAGATGTTGACCGCCAAGTGATCCCTATCATTGGAAAGTGTCTGGATGAAATAACAAAGGCTGCAGAATCAGTTGATCACAAGAATGTAAGTGTTACGTTGCTTGTATTGCTGATTGTCATCTTTAGAACTGATGGCTTTGTGCACAGAGATTTAAATGCTGGGTCCAGGCTGCAGCGTGAGGGCTTTATAGTCACAGAACTAAAACAAATAATGGGCTCTTGTCCCAGACTACTTTGTCCAAGGCAGATTATTTCCTAAATCTACTTAACATCAGGAAATGCCATGCTTTCTTTTCTTTTAGGAATATTCTCTCCTTTTGATAGGATAATGACTTCTTGAAATAATTGTTAGTGAAGATTAGAATTCTGCCCAGAATAAGGAGAATGATGGCACGATTCCAGATATCTAATCACCACCAATTCTTATTCAGATGGATTCTGTACTCTTCTAATAATGGAAGTAATTAAAATGTTGGCTTCATTAATTATTACAACAGTTCTGGCAAAATTTCTACTTGGTTTTAAATTCTTCATTTGAAGAATTGAGACTTGCTAGCAATCTGTACACGAGTTCTGGTAAAACTTAATTTTGAACATCAAAAAATAAGCCTCCCTGATGAAAGCTGATAAGGAGTTCAGTTGTGCTTCCTGATGTATGGTTAGCACAAGGGCAAATGTGTTTTCTATTTTGTTTTCAGAATTATCTACTCCCTTTGTAAATGAATCCTGTGCCTGCTCTTTCTGCCCTTCTCACGGGTCGCATTAGTGCTTCAAATACAAACAGCATGTGTCTCGCTGTCTGTTTGAAATTCCCATACAGCTTTTCCACTGGAATCTTTTCTGAGCCATTCAGTGCCCAGAGCCCAGAGACTGCAGTTAATTGGCAGCACAAGCCTGAGGCTGAGGTTTTGAAATGAATCCCCTGCTTTTGCACGGCGGTTGCTCTCCCAGAGAGCAGCATGGGAAACCAAGGAATCTGAAAGTTACTGTTTCCTTTTTGGGGTAGGAGAAGGAGCACAGATTCCCATGTTTGAACAATGCACCCTTTTTGGGGGTGCAACTCTTGGGGCTGTATGGCGAAAATCACTGGGGAGAGATTCATAGCTGTGCTTATACTACACTCAAATCCTCAAACAGTCTGAGTGACACACACAAACCACTTACGCTGAGGATCTGAGCCAGGATGAATTTTGTACCAACTTTGGTCTCTTGCACACAGATGTGCACGTGAGCCATCAGTCCAACACAAATACATTAGAAAAAGGTGCTGTGAGCACTGATAGCTTAATAAGTACTAACAAAAATGTGCTTAACTGCATTTTTGTTATAGCTGAGCAATGACGAAAGATTTAGCCCGTTCTGTCTGGGAAACTAATGTGCCTAAAGGATTCTTCTTGTCTTAAAATATCATTGAGGGCTTTATGTCTCTGGAACAGTGGTTTCTCACCTTGACTCTAATAAGAGTGGTACACTTGTTCCTGTGTCCTACCACGTTATAAGCAGTCATAGCTGCAGACAGTGGCAGTTTAACATCTTGTTCTCCTCCAGGCCAGTCGTGCAAACTGCCACAGCAGACCTTTCCCATCTCTACATTAAAATTTTAAGAAGGCAATTTTGGCTCTTAGACTGCTGTCAGAAGAGTTTCTTTTCTTTGAAAGATTTAAATTGAAGTTTATCTCCTTTACTCATCTCTTTTAAGCCTGAAATTTTTTGGATGGGAAAGTCAGCTAGATCTGAGCTGTAGTCAGCTTTGAAATTGAGGTCAGATTCCAGGCAAGTTGAATGCGAGGACAGCTGGTGATAACAAAACCAGTACAATGGTGAGCAATACCAAGAGCCTGCTGAGCAGGAAGAGCTTTATGTGAAACTCTGGGCTCACACAGACACGTGTTTCCCAGCTGGGAGGAGATCTCAGGGATCTGGTAGTGGTAAACAAAAGTACACAGTATCACCAAAGTAGAGATGTAGGAGCTCTGACACTGATACTGAGGAAATGCAGTGATGCATCTGGAGTTCTTACACAGCTCCTGACTGGTATTCTTTGGTTTGATTGTCACTTGTTCCACCCAGCTATCATGTACAGAGTTGCTGAAGGAAGGGGGAAGGTAAATGAAAGCTGTGCTGTTGGTGTGGTAGCTTTGGTTCGGAAACCAGGCCTTCAAATTTAACAGGCACAGCAAGTTCAGAGGATGTATTTGTCAGAAAGAAAATAATTACAGAGGGAGCAGCAGTTCTGGTGCTTTACCTTGTGTACCAAACTGAGTCAGCCCTAGCTGAGAGGATGTAAGAACCTGCAAGTTCTGCACCTTTTTTTTGCTGTCTGTAAAACCTTCCCAGCTGATGGTATGACATTGGTGTACTGAAAAGGAAAAACAAAATGGAAGCACAGCTTTGCAGTTCATGTGAGTGCCTACCTGAACCTATTACCACACTGACCAAACAAGAGGTTTTCATGGCGTTTATGAACCGCTGTGATTGAGTATCAGACCTGTGCAGCACAGCAGTAGGTTAAGATGTCATTCTGTAGTTAGGTTGAAACTCTGGAAGCTCAGGCTGCTAACAGCAGGCTTCCTTTCCACAGCCATCTCTGCCTGCCCTGCCATCCATAGCTGCCAGCAGGATTCTCAAAGACCACTTTATTTTCAAGTTTCATTGGATGGCGCTGAGGACCAGAACGATATCTGGAAAATATTTAACTATTCTCTGCAGCTTAAAAATGACAAAGTTCTGCCTCACACCTACTAGCAAAATGGGCAAATGTTCAGGCTTAGCTAGGAAATTTGTAACTGTGCAAGCAGAATTGCTTTATGCCCTCATAGAAGTCCTTACAACTCCCACTAAGCAAGGGAAGCTCTCTGGAATAGCTGGTAGCACTGGTTAGGCCTGTGTGTTCCTATAGCTATGGATGCACTTCTGTTCAATGTATTCTTTCTCACAGAGGTGACATCACAAGGGTAGGCTGGAGTGACTGCTAAGTGAACCTCTGCAGAATTTGCTCCAGCAGCAGATAGAATTAATTTGTTACGGATTTAGGAGTTCCTGTTATGACATTATCTCTCTGTGATATGAGGAGCATGCTATTTATATTTAGCTCAATCACAGTGGAAGGATGTTTTGACTAAATAGAGGGAACGCTGTACAGTTAACAGAGGAAAAAAAAAAAGGGAAAAAAAAGCTTTAGGCATAGGATAAAATACGAGTAGTGGATTTTCTGTAACCTCGTGTATGTTTGTCTTTTCTTTCTTCTTTCATGATTATAAAAAAAAAATCTCTTCAAATGTTCATGTCTACAAAAGTTTTAATGTCAATCTGGGATAAAGTAATGGAGAAAGTGTTGCTTTACCCCCTTTACAAGCTGTATCTGAATTCTACAGTGCACCTGATAGAGTGAGGATTTCGAGCCTTAATTTGGTAGGCATTCCCCAGGATATCTTTGCAAAGCCTTTCTTAAATCTGTATTTTGCTTAATTGCATCTGGCCTCTGAATCTGTGCTTATCCCACTGGGCTTCTCATGAATGCAGTTTTACTCATGGATGTAAGCAGAAGCTGTGAAATGCTTCCAAAGCAACAAGTTCTTTGATTCAAACAGGATGATGATGCCCTTCTTTAGAGAACTAATAAGATCTTTGTGTGCACAGTTCCCCTAATGATCTTAGAGTAAAAACTGTTAGAACACTATAATGTAAAAAGCTTCCTTCCTGAGAAGTCATATAGATCAAAAGTGTTCAGAAGAACTTTTTTCTGAGGCCATTAGACCTAAATGCTTTTGGCAAGTTAAGTCCAAGTCTGCATTTATGTATAATTAATCATGTACGTAGGCTTGACTAGGATAAATGCTATATATTATTTCTTGTATGGTTTATCTTTTTCTTCTATTTAAAAAAAAAAAAAGCAAAACCATTGCAGAGAGTACACAGTGTATGGCTGCAGTATCTGGGAGCATTCAGTTTTACATGGTACAGTGCCTTGTTTTGGTGGAATAATGTGCTCTGCATACCTTTTTGAAACATGTTGTGGTAATGACAACAGATTCAAGAAAGCATCTTGCATCCTTGATCCAAGATCCTTAATCATGGAGCAGAAGGAGAAACTCTTCCAGAACTTGGGATCAGGATGAGTATTTATTTGCCAGGATGAGACCAGTCCCTTTAAAGATATTTTCCTCCATAGGAAAAACGTATTTTTGTCCTTGATCTTCTCTGCTATGCCACCAGTATGACGACAGCCTTCATCTGAGATGTTTACACTTGTTCTTGATCTGCCCCATTCCAGGATTCACAAATGGTAATAGAAGCCTTCAAATCAGGGTTTGAGCCTCCAGGAGATGTTGACTTCGAGGACTTCACTCAGCCCATGAAGCGGACTATCTCCGAATCCAGCCTTTCCAACTCCAGAGGGGATGGGAAGTATGAGCCGAAGTTTGGTGGCAAATCCAAGGGCAAGTTATGGCCGTTCATCAAGAAAAATAAGGTACTGACCTGCAGACATGAGCTTGGTGTTAGCTAGTATGCGTGTAGACAATAGCCACTGTGCTGTCTAGAGATCTGGGCAATTACAGATTTTAAAGTGAACTTTAGTTTCAGAAAGTTAATAACTGATGTCTTAATATGGTGTTCTGTTGTAGTCTTTGGTTACTTAAGGTTTTTTTATATATCTTTGAGATTTTTTCGTTGAAATTTCTTTAATTATGTTGCAGTTTTTATATTAATTTAACTGTCATGTCTTTGCCATGGTCCATTTCTGTTCCTAACTCAGAAGGAATTGTATATCACTTACAGTGTCACGTGTGCTAACTAACATTGTTACTTCTGGGAAGCTTTAATGTGTCATTACTGTTGTGACACTTCTAAAACTCTTTGACTTTTTCATTTGTGTGACCTCCTCAGTCTGTGCATCGGGTTCTGCAGTTGGGTGGTGGGAAGCAAGGAATTGCTGCAGTTCTTTCTTCTTTAGCATAACTAATGGAGCACAGCTAACTGAGCAGTTGACTTTTTAAAGACCATGTTAACTTACATATCCATTAAACCTTTTTCATTTCACTGTCATATTTTACACCATAATGCATGGCACCGTACATCTGAGGATACCAGAATGTGTCAGGATGGCTGCACTATATCAGTTTACAGAAACACTGATGGAAGCCCAGAGCAGCTTCACTGTTTTGATCTCACCCTTGCTCTGACCCTTATCAAACCACTTTTACTAATGACACTGATAGTCCAAAAGCCTACTTGATCAAAATGGGTCGTTCCTCTTGCTGGTAGAAGAGAGAAGTTGGCTGTCTGGTGCTTACATTAGTGTAGCCAGAAGCAAAAAAAAAAAAAAAAAAAAGGGACCAACTTCTGAGCAAATTTGAAGCATTTGTAGAAGTGAAGTTTGATGCACGTTACTGAGGTATGATTTGAAAGCAGGAAGGAATGTGGTTTGTTGTTTTCCAGATAATAGAAACGCTACTGGGCACTAAGGTACCTTCATTATCTGATCCATTTAAATTCAGGTATTTGTAAGCTCTATCCATTTGCATTATTCCGAGTTGTCCACAGAGCAGAGCAGGGCAGTTTATAGGGATAGCACTGCATGGAAGAGTCTGCATGAGCTTCCCGTCAAAATGCTTTGTTACTCTTCTGTTGCATCACTTACTAAAAACTTCAATTTTATCATACCTTCATTTAACACAACTCTAAATACTTCTCCCCCCCACTTCTTGAACCATGGCCTTTAATGTTTAATTATTTAATTGTTTTTTCTCTGAATTTCAAATATTGGTTTTGATGCTTATTTTCGTTTTGTGTTTTATCTTTTTATTTTGATTTTATTCTGTCACTTCTCCATCTCTTATACGTAGCTTATGTCCCTTTTAACATCCCCCCATCAGCCCCCTCCTCCTCCCCCTGCCTCTGCCTCACCCTCTGCTGTTCCCAACGGCCCCCAGTCTCCCAAGCAGCAAAAGGAACCCCTCTCCCATCGCTTCAACGAGTTCATGACCTCCAAACCCAAAATCCACTGCTTCAGGAGCCTAAAGCGCGGGGTAAGTTCTCCTCTGGATACCTCTCTTTCTTTCTTTCTTTCTTTTCTTCCTTCCTTGCGCTTTTATATTGCACGTTCTGTTATGTAAGAACTTGTTTTGTTTGGTGGATGAGTCCGTTGTGTTTTATCATAACATGCAGACAAACCCAAGGAATCCCAACCTGTAAAGTCATTTGCAGTCAAAAATCCCACAGCGAAACCACAAAAAGTACAGTTTGATAGAAGTTACCTATTCCCTTTTTTTTGGAAGGAGAGAGATTTATCCAGTGTTTAGAAAGAACAGCTGAACTTGAAGCAATATTCACATACAAGTCACAAATCCATTAATTTAGCAGCTCTGCATACACCGCTGTTCAGAATTGTAGATCTTTTTCTGGCGTTTCCTATGAAGTCAACAGATTTTTTTGGTGCCTGAACTGACTTTCACTTCCCTGTGCTATGGTGCACGTGGTTCAAAACTATATTCTGTGTGCAAAGCTGATGGTCAGACAGGCGTGATCTGAAACACAGGTGGGAGGTTTTCAGGGGCTGGGGTTTGAGCCTTTCCTGCCAGCAGCTGGAGCTGTGAGCTGGGTGCTGCTCCATTGCAGAGAGGTTGGAACCCTGCAGCTGACCTTGGGGATCCACTGTAGATGGAGCTCAATCAGCTTCTTGTGACATGACACCAGCATTGCAAGTTCATCATACTTTTCTCCTGAAATAAAGCAGAGGATGCTTTTTTCTTCATGCAAGCCCATATGTGGCACAGCTGTACTCAGAAGTTGCTCGTGTACCACTGCTTTGGCTCTGAGATTTGGGTCCTTAAAAGTATTATTGAAAAAGATCACAGAAAGGAGACACAACTGTGCAGTACCTTACAGCCTGCACTAAAAAACACGTTTTAACAGGGAGGAAGTGCAACTGCTTAAAAAAGCCCAAATTCTGCTCCAGGGACTGCACTGACATTTAGGAAAGATGACTGGAGTTGTTTAACAGTAGAGCTGATTTCAGTGGGGGACTTCAGTGGTTAGTCACAGAGAATTGAAAACACTGCTGTAAACAGTATTTTGTCTCATCTGGTTACAGACAGTAAATTTAAAGAAAAAAAAGTTCGTTTTTTTTTTAATATAGGGCAGTTTTCAGTTCTTTTCTAAGGAACTTCCATTCATGACGTATTCAGTGTAGAATCCAAAAATCCCCATTTCTGATGCTTTCTACTGGAGATGTGTCTGTTTTCTAAGTCCTCCTAAGGAGGTTTGGTAAATGCCTTCTCCTCTCAGTTGCAGTTTGGTTCACAACATCTCTTCTTTTAAGCTTTTAAGGAGGGGGGAATTGCCTTTCTGTCCTGCTTCTATAGCAGCAGGTGCCTCTGCACTGCTTGGATGGCTGGCAGCTGGCAGCCCTGTTTGTATGGGGTAGCAGTGAGGCACATGGAGAGAAAGGCAGTGCTGGAGGTGGGAGCTGACACTGTGACCTAGTCCTCCAGCAGTGCCATTCACTGAACTGATTATTTAAAATAATGCTGAGTATTTCTAGTTCAGTCTAAAAATAAGCTTATAGTTCCTTGGGCAGTGCATGAGCTTGTATTTCAAATGTACTAACTCTTATTTATTATTTGGCCTCATAAGCAGTTATGACTTTTAATATTTGCCTGAAAAAATGACATAATGTGCTGTCTGAGAAGTCTAAGTGAGTCTTACAGATGCTTTGTACTGTGTTACTTTTAGTTGGTTCGTTTGAAAAGTGAAATAATGAGAACAATTTCCTCTAGCTTTCTCTGGAATCCTTCTAATTTCTGCTGACAAGTTCATTAAAAATGCAAAAAGGAAGGCTATTACTAAATCTTCATCTGAACCTTTTTCACTGTGTTCTCCTTCTCTTTCATTTCCTTCCCCTGTTAGCTACCAGGATGTTTGTATGTAAACAGTTTTGGTGCCTGACTCATCCAACAGAGTTGGAGGCCAATGTTCAGATCATCGTGGCATTTTCCAGAGGGACGAATTCAGGCCGCTTAGTTCATCTAGAAGTATGGAGGAGGAGAGGCTGCTAAGAGCTGGCAGCTCTTTCTGTCTGCTCTGAGAATGCTGTTGATGCTTCATAGGTCCTTGGTGATTTTTGTTATACGCAGCGTCAGACTAAAAGGTCATGGAAGTGCTTAATGATCTTCAAAAATAAAATTCTAACCAGACGCACCCCAATCTCATTTATTTGTCAGATGAGAAATGAGTTATTGTAATTTGTCTGATGAGGCCCTCTTTATGTCCAGTACAGCTGGATAACATTGTTAATTCCACTTTTACAATATTACATTTGATAAGATTTCCTTTTCTCGGTTCCTCTCCATCTCATTGTCCCTCTGCCAGATCCGACAACATCTGAATTTTGCTCATGAGCAGTAATGTTGCTAATGCTGCACTGAGATCTTACCAAAGAAATGAGAGAGAAGGAGGTAGGGAGAAGCTGTCTGCTCAGAAGAACATTTGGTCTGTACAGGAATACATTAGCAAAGCAACTTTTGGGAAGGTCGTGCAGGGAGCCAACAGAACAATACAACGTAATGGATGTTTGGCTTTGGACACAGAACAATTTCATTTGCTTCTCTGCCTCTGTGCTGGTTTTGTTCAGCCAAACACCTTGCAGTACAGGTGGCCGTGGGAGATTTAAAGTACTTAAGTAATAAAGATTATTTTAGATTGTTCAAACAAATTGTCAAGAAGGGAGTCCTTCCTGGCTTTGCTGATAATCTGAGCTGTTAATGCCTGCAAAAGGCTGTGCAACAATTCAGAGGAAATGGGTTCATACTCCTTTCTGTCCCTGGTTTAAGAAAGAGGGGAGCATGGCAGGGAACTACTTAATGTGAACACAACTAACAGAAGTGTAATGGGATAAACACAGCAGAACTACACACTGTAACCCGTCCTTGGGTGTGAGGAGTGATCCCCATACAATTCCTCCATAGGTCCTTTTGAGATTGCAGTGAGTGGCAGTGTGTTTTCGTGATCTGCTTCCAAGTTTTGTTTTAGCATCTTCTGTTACCTTTGGAAAGAGAGATTACAGAGCTAAAGTGGAAAAGGCACTGGTGACTGCTGAACTGTGTGTGTAACGTTATGCCCTGCAATCTGGCTTTAGTTTTGGCTCTCAATCTAAAATCCATTGAGTTTTGTTTCCATGGAAGGAAGCAGATATCTGAACAGCAGATGTGAGGTTAATGCACCAATAGCAGAATCATTGATCACTGCCAGTGTGAAATGCTGGTCTGTTTGAAAGAAAAGCAACAGAACTTATGTTGGTGCTGACACTTGTCAGTGGCTGTGGTTTTCTAATCATGTTCTCCTATTTTCATCAAACTTACTTTCTTCTGACCCCAAAAGCAGAAATGTTCATTATGAGGAATCATTAAGACCCGTTACAGTGCTTACAGAAGATCTGAGCTAAAAGAGGGGAAAGTCTACACAAGGCTTTTTTTCCTCACTGTTTCTTATAACTCTTTAATTAAAAAAAAAAAAGTCAGTGCTTAAAATCAGCTCTGCCTCTCTAGGGAAGTAAAATCCAGAAGAGTACAAAAATGAGGAACCACTTACATAAGTCATAATTTCATTTATGCTTGCTCTGCTTTTTCTAATTCCATTTTGAGGACAAAGGAAACATAGTATTCTGCTAGTTGAAATTAATTTTGTGTTTTTCCTTTATTGCTACACCGGCAGTAACATCAGCACCTTTATTTAAAGAGCAATACTTCTGAACTGACCAAATCCAGGGGTAGAACTTACACCCTTCCACCACTGTGTACATTGAGCTGAGTTGCTTCGTGTGGTCATTCGGACTCTGAGCTGCGGTCAAACAGGAGGTGGCTCTGGGAGCAGAGGCACAGATGCTGCTGTCATTGCCCACACAGCCCCATAGGGTCCAAATGAGGGATTTTTGTGGTTTCCTTTTTAAGTGGAAGTTGTTGACTTCATTACAGTGTAACTTCATTTCCGTTGCATCAGTTTAACGTTTTCCCTTTCCATCCTGTCCCATTTCTGTGATGCACTGTGCACATTTTCCTGACACCTGTAGCCCTGCCCGGGGACCACGACCTGGCTGTGCTGTGATTGTGCAGAAACACCAACCAAACCACACCAGCTCCTCACCTGCTGTGTTCCCTGCCCAAGGGAGTGCTCTGTGCTGTGATGCAAGTGTGTGTGTGCCAAAACACCGGGGCTTGGGCGGGTGGGCTCAGAAAAGCCAAGCTTATTTCAGCAGAGAGATTTTACCTGGCATGGCATGTTTAAGCTAGCCTTTAAGAATATGAGATCTAAGTGTTATAAAAGTGCTGAACTCGATTAAAGCTCGCAGAGCATCTAGCAAGTTTCCACTTTGCACTTAAAGCTATTAAACACCGAGCTGTCTTTTGCTGTAGAAGCAGTAAACACGGGTGCTGTGCTGGTCTCCACCGTAACGCATGTGTTTTCTCTTGCTGACTCACCAGCAGACACAGTCTTTGTATTTTCACAAAGAACTCATGAAGAGGACTTTAGGGACACCCACGTGTGCCATTGAGGCTAGGGAATACGTTGTAAGTCCACGTATGGTGTGATCAGCCCATACCGTTGCTGCACAGTCGCTAACCCCACTTACAACGCCCTGAGAGTGTGCTGTGGAAATGTGCTTTGTGAAAAAGAAATGGGAAACTGCAGGCTTGGTGAGAGGCAAGCTGCAGCTGAGTGTGTTAAGAGCAGGAGAGACTTGTCTGCTAGGCCTGGAAATGCTGAAATTCACACTCCTCTCGGAACCGTTTCAAGTGTGCTTGGCTGTACAATAAATAGAAAACTAAAAATTATATTCTATATTTGTTAGCTTGTAAAGCTGAGCTGCTTTTACAGCAAATTTCTTCTACGTAGAAGTGCTCCAGGTGGGTTCCTTGCATTTATTCTAAATTACTTTATGAATGCAGTTTGACCATCATGAGCTGTAGGGACGCATCCCTGGCCGTGGTGGCAGAGCATCTGCGAGCCTTTGGCAAACTTCCCTGAGCTCTCT